TTTCTACAAACACTTTATCTGTTTTTTCCATGATAGTAAGATGAAGGTATCGTATTTATAAAAGATGATGATAAAATGAGATCAGTAGAGAAATAGATGGTGGTTTTACGGCAAGCTTTTTATATGACACCACGATGAAGAAACATATATCAGCTTTTTTTTGAAAGTAGGTAACTAGTAACCAAAACTAGTAAATACGAAAGCAGTTGCATGAAAAAAATGTCAGAGGGGGGGTGGGGATGGCGAGCTTGCTGAGTAACTAAAGTTTTTTTTATTGAGTAACGCATTTTTTGACTAAAATTTTTTTCTAAGTAACTGAGTTACTCAGAAGCTAGAGAAAATCACTTACTCAGATACATAAAAGGCGGTTTCTCAACTTAAATTTCTTAAAAAATTTGAATAAGTCAAACAGTTGGGTCAAACAGTGAGTAAGTAACAGTATCCAAACGAGGGGGTAGTTTCCCACCCGGTAAACGATAACGCTGGAATGATGCATCGGTTGAAATGAAAATTGACATTCTACGAACTTTTGAAGCAGAGATATATATAAAATAAATATTTTAGGACACTATGCACACGTGTGAGGGTGGATAAGATCAAAGTCATTTATATCAACTTCCTTAATAATATAGTTTTGTAACAATACCTTCACTGTTATCATCTTCATTATCTGCTTCGTTTGCTATTTCGTCTAATGAACGCTGTGTTAATTGTTTGTAATCTAAATATTGTGCATCTGACTTTTCGTTTGACCGCCTGTGAATAAACATAAACAGAAAAAAAATGCACAATTAGTTGATAAAACAAAGTGAAAAAAGAAGGATACGATTTTTAGCTGCGAAAAAAACACGAGACGTTTCAAAGCAGCGAAGTCGGATTCAGGATGTGATGCTCCCATTTATCTCGTTCGTGGTTTTACCACAGATTTGAATTTGTAGATTGTTCCATTTGTGCGCCACATTGTGCCACAACTTTGGCAACATTTTCAATCCTTTGATTTTCATCTATGGAAAAAACTAGACAAAAACCTTGTTAGACAAGACAGAACACCATAGCATACTCAGCAATACTCTACCCATTAACTTATGACTACTACATAGTTACAGGTTATTTTTATCTTTCTTAAAAGCGACAATTACTCTTCTTACCAACTCCCAAAAGTCAACTTAAACTTAAAAAAGAAACACATGTTTCTACTGAACACATACTCTTTGATTCGTTGTTGTTATTCGAATTATTTGACATATTGTTGTAAGGGAAATTAAAAAATCTGAAAATAAAACAAACATACAATTAAAAAAAATTAATAAGTGAAGGGCATATTAAACGTACTGTGACGACGAAGATCGATTTGTGTTATCACTATGGAATGAACTGGATATGGCTAGAAAAATTACACGCGATACACATACACAACGTTTATTTTTTATGCATACTAACTTGGTTCGATTTTAATTGTATATCTTTCTTTTATGTTATATCCTATCGACTTTCCACGCGACTTTTCGTGGTATTCGGTTGGTTCACGTTTGATTTCGACTCTATCTTCATCCTCATCATTAGGACTAGGATAATCATCATCTTCTTGTAATGGATCATACAACTCCTCATTTTTTGTTTTCTGTTTTTCAATAGAATTTGGTGGCGTTGGGGGTGGTGGAGGTGGCTGAAACAATTTTGCTAAAAACTGTGACGGTGGCATAGTTAAGTTAGATGGAAATTGTGAAGGAAACATGGGCGAATGTTGTTGTTGTTTTTGCTGCTGAATAGGTGCTGACAAATTTAAAGGTGGCTGACATGGTATAAAAGGTGGTGGGAGATATGGCTGTGGCTGAGGTTGCTGTTGAGTGGGTGGAGGCATCATAAAATTTGGATTAAATGGTGGTGGTAATTGA